ATTTTTCTTATATATTGATTCAAAATATTTAAATAATTTCATTAAAAAATCTTAATATTTTAAATGTTAGGATGTCTTGGTCTTTGACAATTTCACATTTATTTTATGCAAGGTACAAAATTAATATATATAAAGTGTAAACAAAATAAAAACCAATAAAAACTCAGAGAAAACCTATCATTAGTAAAGTCTAATTCACAATGTCAAAGTTGTTATGAACATATTTTATACCATGTGATGTATCTTGGATGAGTGAATTAATAGAGATGGATTTATGTATCTCACCAAGAAATTAAAAGAATCATTAACACATAAATACCGTACGTTATGTGTTAAATATTTGATACCATGCGACGTATATTAAACTATAGATGCATGCAAATTAAATACATTAATTAATATATTATGTAAATTAATTAATTAATTTGGGCAAGATTAATTCCGGCCATCATTGCATGCCAATCACGCTAATATTAATTACCTTCTCATAATAACCTCCTCCATCTATTTAAGCATTTCGTGTATAATCCAATTGCTACCCCAAATCCTTTGTCTTCATCAACCTATAGCTTTCCTCCAACTTCTCTAGTGTTTACGCCAAAGCAACCAAGTTCAATTTGCAACAGAGCGAGATGAACCCCGAAGCCTCCTCACAAGACTTAGAAATGGTGAGTGATTGTGTTTGTATACTCCCTCTCTCGTACCTACATTTCTAATTAAATTTATAGTTACCTTTGCACTTTGCTACGCCTACTCTACTCCCTTCGAGTATGTATAAAACATAAAAAATGATTAGTATACGCTTGATTCAATTATATACTTGTTTCAATTTAATTATTAAAATATAATATAAATACAATTAATTTTTATATTCTATATAAATGCATGATTATATAGTTAAATTTATCTATATACTTTATTCCTTTCGTATTTGTATAGAAGATTCTATCTAAATTTTGAACGGTAATTATATATGCATGGAGTCTAAAATGACAGAATTAATTTGTTGTATACATGATTAAAATGAGCAGCAGAAGCAGCAAACGCAGGGGCGTAGGGGACGGTTCGGCAAGTTCAGCTGGTTAATGGTACTGCTACCCATCTTCGTCGTTGTCGTCGTCCTTGTAATCTACCTGTCGCTCCACTGATGAGGGCTATCATCTTTTGCAGCATTAATTAATTCTCCCCAACACTTAATTTACCCATATAT